TAAGTCCGCACAGCTGCAGATACTGAAGTGAAGAGTTCACTTGTACTAGTGAGGCTAACTGTATCTGACAGACTCATTCTTTTTACCTTCAGATTCAAACAGGCTGCATTTTATTAAGCTTACTCAAGTTGTGTGTTCAAGCTTTTCCTTGTGCCCATGAAGGGTTGGAGTGCTTTATTTTTTTAATGAAAGGTCAGATTATGAAAACATCACAAGACCAGGATCTGGATAAGTCTTGGATATCTATCTGTTTTGTCTCTGCCATAACATAGCCCTGTACTGAAACCTTTTGAGTTATCAAGTCTAGTATGAAACAGTACATATCCTAAGTCTGTTGCAGAATTCATAAAGAGCATACAGCTGGGAACAACAGAACAGAAACCCCTTCCTTCTTGCCTTTCACTTTCTGTTCATAACATAATGTTTCTTTTTCCTTTAAAAAAACCAACCAAACAAACAAACACAAAAAACCCCAAATGCAAAACCAAAAAAACCCAACAGAATATTAAATCTTTTGGGGTTACCATTGGTGTTGCTATCAGGGAGCTGCCAGGGAAAGTTCTGCCATGTGTGTTGTGTAGCCATTATGGTGATGGCTATGTCTCAGTCAGTTGTTTATTTAAAAGGAAAATATCTTTAGGTTTTGGTATTGTGTGCAAGTTGTCTATAAAAGCTGCTAATAAAAAGGACTCATAAATGTCCCAAAAAGGAAATAGAAGTAACACTCATTTTCCTCTGCTATTTAAAGTGTTACTGACCCTGCAGCATATTTCTCTAAAGCCAATGGAAGTAGAAAAATGTAAATGTTGTGCAAAAAGAAGATCAGACCCATAAACTGTCCATGCCTGCTCCTATTAGGACATTATTCAATTGAATTCATTGTAGGACAGGCTGTTGCCCATGTGGAGTACTTGTTTAAACTTGTGAAATCCTGACCATCTGAAAGGCAGACAGAGCACTGGAAAACATGCTGCCAGACCTGGCCAAAACCCACCCAGCTAATTAGTATCAAAACTTTGTATGTGCATCATGCTTAATGACTTCAGGGCTTCTTAAGCAAACCAGTGCTCGAACTGTGGAAGCAGCAAGTAAGGGTTTGTTTACAACCCTGGGTACTGGTTTAATTAACTCGTTTAGATCAGTTGCCAGTCTGTACCACTGCAAGGTCTGTTGTAAGACGGTCTGCTGAATTGGAGGTGTGTAAATCAAATAGTATGATAACAATGGGGGAGTGAAAGGGTTGCCCAGATGGACACCAGGGGAGTTGGTAATGAAACAAAGCTCTTTCCTTTTCTTGAACTGTGCTCCAGCTAGAGGCACCAGGAAAGTTGATCCTTTTTCCTCACTTCTTTGCTCCAGCTTTCCTCCAGCAGGCCTGAGTGGTCCAGCAAGCCAGTCTGGATCTTTCCAGAGAGCCCCATGTGGGGACTCCAGGCAGAAAGAGAAAATATTTGGGCCTGTAGATTCCCAACCCAGGCCAGTGTCCAGTAACAAAGATGTGCCCAAGGCCTGGTGTAGCACTCGTGTTGTTGACTCCATCTGTTCCAAATGGTGACTGATGGGGAAAAAGATGGCTTTAGATGGGTGGCTGTTGTAAGGCTTAGCACATGCTGCTACAATGCTGAAAACATGAGAAGCTATGAAATCAGCCATCCTCTGACCTGTGCATTGCATTTATGTACATGGAGATGTAATGCTTAAATTAATGAACAAATCACTTAAAACACAAAGCAGGATGGGAAGGATTGTCAGGCAGGAACACCATAAATTTTCAACATTGCCTGTATGAGAGCAACAACAAAGTGGTCTGCATCTCTTTGTGTAATGGGCAATTAAGGGTTTGGAAAAAATGTGTAGGGGTTAGTGGCATCCTTTTTCCCCTTTAATACAAGTTAGAGAGAAGCAAGATTGTGGCATGGATGACCTTGTGTTAAATAGACTGGCAGTTACTGGATACAACCAAGACATTTATTAGGCCATCTCTAACAATGTGAAATGTTTTATTTCAGGTACACTTTTGAAAAAATTACTTAGAAAGGAGTTATCACATTTGGTTTATGTTACTGCATTTTAAATATAAATAATCTAATTTAGACTGGGAAAAATTGTATGAGAGACTTCTATATAGCTCTTCTGAAGCTGTTTTGTTTTTCCAGATTTAATTGTAGGTGCATTTGGAGCTGGAAAAGCAGTTGTTTACAGGTATGTGATAATTACAATGGTTTTTTCATTTTACAGCTTTGGTGGGAGCTCTGCAGATAAACAAATTTCATATTCGTGTGTTTCTTTGGTGCAATGTGTAAAAGATGCTCACCACAGATGATAAATAAAGCATCTTGTGTGAAATAAATGCTTTTTTCCCATGCTCAAAACTTGTCATTTTCAATGAAAAGTTCCATGCTTAGTCTTAGCTCAAGGAAATTCTGGAATGTTTAACTGCTCAGTTAATTTTAAATACGAAATATATAAAGCATAATATTGAAAATTAATTTATTTCCTGGAGGAATGATGCTAATAACAAATTTTCAAATGACTGATTCTTCAGAGGTCGTGTACGTTAAGATGTGAACTATTTATTGAAAAGATTGCTGCTTTTAGCCTCAGTTTAGAAAAAAATGTACGAGATCCCATTTTAGAAATCACAAAGTTGTTGCTGACCATGGATTTTCACCAAATGTACTCTTTGATTAGAGGTATAAATTAAAACTATCAAATACACAAACTAAAATCTGCTGCTACCCTCTTAGTCCAGCTATGTCAACAGTTCTTTGCATTTAAATATTCACCATCCATAGCTGCAACTATGTAGTCATATTTCTTGATTCCTGTCTGTCTTCTTGTTGTCTGTATTCCCAACAATACCTGAGAGAAGGCATGTTCTGCTTCCCAACGGAATGTTTGTCAAAGATTAAGAATTTTGTAAAAGAGGAATGTTAGTTCATTTTAGGTAATACTGTAGGTGCTGTTGGTAGACCTGATTCTTCTACTGCCCTTTTAAAGAATCATGCAAATACTTTGCAGTGCATCACTTTGGAGTGACATGAATGACTGCACAGGATGTGAAACATTGGAGAATTAGATCCAGTGTGTATAAAAAATGTGTTCTGTTTAATTTAAGAAAGTGAATAGCAGGAGGCCATTTCCTAGCCAGAGTGTATCAAATATGCAACTTGTCATATTGAACAATCAGAAAATTATTAACTGAAATTTGCTAGGAAAAAAGGTTTTCCCTGTTGCACAAAAATGAAGAAAGTAATTTTACTTTTTAATGCCTTACTGAAGTAATATAAAGAAGTAATCATAGAAGCTCAGCTGTGGATTAAAATATGAGGAAAGTAATTTTCTAATAAGTTGGTTTTGCCGGAATTATGTACATTATTGTAAAATAGTACTGCTGTCTTAAAAAAATAGAATTTAGACCCTTTCTTGTTTTCGTTTGTCCTCTAAATGCTCTCATTTATAGATTAGCCTTTACTTAATAACAGATTGTTATTCAGAACGATGGTTCCCATCACCACAACTATATATTCACATAGCCGAATTTTGCGATGATTATTCCTGGTTTCCAAAGTCAATTGTCTCAAGACATGTCAGACAGTCTTTATTAGTGGCTCAAGATATTCTAGATCAGCTTCTACTTTAACTAAATTATGTTTAATTTTTTAAGAATCTTATACAGAGATAGCAAGTCTGAATATGTCACTGTTAATGGAGACAGTATAAAACAAATCCAACAGTATAAATTAATGGCCAAAGGACTGCTGTAAATCCCAAAAGGCAGACTCTGTCCCTTTTTGAAAACCCAATGTGATGAAATGTGTCTGACGTGTCTTAGTCCTAGGTCACACCTATTGGTTAACTATAGGATACTCTTTCAGTGATGCTTTTAACCTGTGAATTTTTTGTGAAGAACTTTCAAAATGTCATAGTAGGAGGTATCACAGTTTCTGACGAAAAAAAAATTCTTTTGGGTAGGAGCAGCATTATAAAAGTATTTTCTCCCAAGTAACCCTACATTTCTGACTTCTTTGTGGCCATCTCAGTTAAGTGTTTTCTCTGTGGCAACTTAGGTACTAATGTGCTCCTTCTGTATGCAGTGACCTTTATTTCTGTCCCTCAGAGCTAGACCTGTTGTGACAGTGACTGCTCAGCTCATTCTGAACCCCATGATTGTGAATCCAGACAATAAAACTTGTGAGCTCCCTCGCTCTCAGCTTTTGGTGGCCTGGTAAGTTCATCATTAGACAAAAAATATCCTCATCCTCTTTCTCAAATAACTTCCTAACTTTTCTTGCAGCTTTTGTTGAACTTGTTCAAAGTTCAAAAAAAAAATGTTCAAACATGCTATGAGCACAACAAAAAAAATCTATATAGGACAGAGTTCTTTTTGATATCTTGCAATACTTCACAGATTCTCAAATGAAGTAGCTGAAAGTTGAGTCCTTTGATACACTGAGACTCCTTCTGCATAGGAGGATGCTCAGTGTCTCCCAGGATCAAGCTGCAAATTTGCAATGTTTCGATGAATGAAACACGAAACAGCTAAGACAGATAAAGCATGGAAACATTGATCTGTCAAAACACACATCTTTATTGATAAAATGTAACAGTGAAAGTGGTGCAAAGAGCTGATGGGCCCACCATTTTCTGTTGGAGAAAGAGATATCTCAGTCCTTTGTGGAAGAGAGAAGATATCTGGCTGGCCATCCTGAGAACTGTTCACAGGATGTTGCTTCTGGTTGTCATTGGTCAGAGGAAAGCTTTTTTTAGTGCATCATAGAGGACAATGTTGCATATATCTTTAAAAGAGAAACCCTTCACCACAGTAGAATTTAACTTTGAAAAGAAGTATGTTCAAAAACTTGAAGCTAATAAAAACAATGTAAGATCAGTTACAAATATAAAATGCTTGCAGGACACTTCGAGGCTATTTAATAGCACATAATACCACATAAAGGCATGTTGCCTGGACTAGAAAAAAAGCGACTTAGAAAGGACCCCAGGAACAGTTGAAAAAAGAAGGTATTACAAATACGTAAGATACTGTTTAAAAGTGGAAATCATAACAAATGAGGAAACTCAAAACAAAGCAGAGCATAAACACGTGCAAGTTGAATATAAAATACCAGTAAGTCCTGCCAGAGAGACTGTGAGGAACAGATTTCTAAGACATAAAAACTAGTCATATCATTTTATTTAAACACATTAGAAGGAGAAAGCCTGCCAGGACGTGGGCTGGATGAAGAGAATATCAAGGTGTAAAGGAGGACTATAGAAGATAAGGAGACTGCAGAAATTTTGCACTGCTTTTAAACCAGAAGTGGTCAGAGGGATTCCACACATTGGAGACATTCTTTATAGGAGATGAGTTCTAAAAATCATCTCAAATGTAAGAGTCAGCAAAAGAGTTTTTAGAACAAGTTGATAAATACGAACCGTAAAAAATAATCATGACCAGAATGAGTTCATTTAAGAGTCATAAACAAACCCAACTTTGATACACTTAAACCACTCAATATATGGGCTTTCAATGCATCTGGGATGGAGCTGTCAAGAGATTTTCACTTTTGCTCTATTCTTTTACACTTTGTGACACTTCCCATATTTGTCATAATGTTCCTCGTTTCTACATCCTGTGTAGAAAATCATCCATCTACAGAGCAATGTAGAAGGCACTTGGTAGAATTATGTAGTCCCAGAACTTTAGAAAACTTTGACCTTTCTGGAATAGGATCCAGATCAAGATCCATCCTGATTTTTTGATTCAAGCATCTTTTGGTTTAATAGTTTATGCAATAGAGAATTTAAAATATCGACATTGGGCTGAAGCATGTTCATTGATCCAAATTATGTTTTTGCAGAACTTCAGTTTTTAAGACTTTTAAAGAATGCTTTATGCCGTAATGGAAAAGATTTCAAAACCGTAACATTTACCAACAGTGTACTGAAAGAAAAAAGGTGGGGTTTTGCGCAAGAGAAATAAATAAAAACATCTCTGTTTAAAAAGTATTCCTG